CATTTCGGTCAGAGAAGAAGACCAGCTGGGGAGCAAGCTAGTTATAAACGATCCCAAAGTGTCAGTGGAATTACTCTGGGATGTTTTTGTGTGTGTGTTTGAGGTGTTAATGAGGGTGTCTTTTAGAACCTTCAAAGGACCTGGGAGGCGGTGGCTGAGTGGATATGGCACTCTCGCCTTCAGCAAGAAGGTCCTGGGTTCGAATCCCGGTCGGACCAGGGCTTTCTGAATGGGAGTTTGCATGTTCTCCCCGTGTTCTCCCGCGAGTGGGTTTTCCTCCCGGATACTCCACGGTTTCCCCTACCCACTAAAACATATGTACATAGGTATGGCATGCGCCTCCTATACTTGGCGAGGCCCCCGCCTCCATCTCTGATGTGGAGCGATACGCTCAGATCACCCATGCCCACAACTAATTACCAATTGTTAAACGCTTGACGACTCTGATGTGCAGATGAAAAGACGGTAATATACACACCCAACCACCGCCTATCTTACACCCTTAACTCCTCACACCCTGTCAAAAGCACCCCCTTCCTGGCCAAAGACTAGCTGGGCTGGGCTGAACCTCAACCACTCCTGCACAGCTTCACGCCCGCAGCAAACAGCACAAGGGGACCACTTTACTTTCTGTGGGACTCAAAAGCCGTGCTTCCTCAACAAGGACTTCCCACAAGCATGCCCCCCCCCCACGCCCCAAGCTCTCCCCGAGTTCCCAACCGTTACTTATGAACGTCGAATATAGTGCACTGGTGGGTGCTGAATGACAGTTCGCGCTCGACAGTCGTTTCCCGCCGTCACCTCACCTCCCAAATGTACGTTGATGCAACGTCAATTCAAGGTTTGTATGTGGTTACGGAACGGTCGGGTCTGACGTCCTTATCAAGTCTCATATGGACCAAAATATTGACGTTTATATGACGTTCGTTTCAGTCGTTCCCACTAAGCAGCAGATGTCAAAACAACGGTAAATTTCAACGTCATCTGGACGTTAATTCAAGGTTGCATGTGGTACAGAACCGGTCGGGTCCGACGTCCTATCAAAGTCTTATATGACAAAATATTGCCTGCATATGACGTTCGTTTTCCGTTGTTCCCACTAAGCAAGCAGATGTCAAAACACTGTCATTTTCTCAACGTCATTGGACGTTAGCAACACAGTCTGACACCTTCAACACACAATCTGACACCTTCAACACAGTCTGACACCTTCAACACAGTCTGACACCTTCAACACAGTCTGACACCTTCAACACAGTCTGACACCTTCAACACAGTCTGACACCTTCAACACAGTCTGACACCTTCAACACAGTCTGACACCTTCAACACAGTCTGACACCTTCAACACGGTCTGACACCTTCAACACAGTCTGACACCTTCAACACAGTCTGACACCTTCAACACAGTCTGACACCTTCAACACAGTCTGACACCTTCAACACAGTCTGACACCTTCAACAACATATGGCCGGTTTTAAAGTTTATATAAAAAGTAAGAAATTGAATAGAGTTGCAAGCGCTAGTGATCTTGCTACCAGCAGATTAATGGATATTTATTATTTGCCAGCTAACAATAACAAAAATGACTGTAATGACTCATTTAAACAGCCACAGTGAGAAGAAGTGAAAGTCTCTGACATTGAAGACCTGGCAAGACATTCAGTCCATTTATTAAACAAAGCAATAAATGAACATTAAACTCTCTTTCTGCAGCAGGTAACATCTGTGTGCTCCCATGGTCCCACAGTCTCTGGTCCCACATGGTCCCACAGTCTCTGGTCCCACATGGTCCCGCAGTCTCTGGTCCCACATGGTCCCACAGTCTCTGGTCCCACACCTGAGGCTGAGTTTACACGGAGGCAATGTGGCAGTAAAACGGTATAGTTGGATGTCGGTTTCTACCAACCGTTCATACAAAGACTGTGTTTCAGGTGAAAACGTAAGTGTTCAGATCCAGCCTGCAGAGTGGGACAACTCAGAAACGCTGCACAGCAGGAGCTCTTTCACACCCGCGAGAGGGAGAAAGGTGTGAAATCCCCTCTGCTCTGACTCCCACCTCCTGCTGCTCTGACCCCCACCTCCTGCTGCTCTGACCCCCACCTCCTGCTGCTCCCGCACGTACATTTGGACATGCGCAGTAGCGGAGAACAAACATCAACAACAATGGCGCAGCGCGCACAAACTAGCTTCGTGGGCTTCCAGCGCGGCACAGAGGATAATTCTACTCCTTCGTTCGTCCAAACGAGACCACGCGAAGCTCTAGGTTCAGTTTCCATTTTCACAGCTGCTGTTAAAATGCAGAATGATGTTGGTTCTTTCTGAGGGTCTGGCACAGGAAGTGAGTACACTGCAGAGAGGGGGGCTGGGCACGGGGCTGGGGGTCGTGTGAGTGTTGTAAAGTTTCTCTGCCCCCTACTGGCCGGGCGCTAGAACTACATCGTTTTTCAACCTCATGTGAACGCAGAGAAATCTGCATTAGGAGCCAGGTCGTTTCTGTTAATGGCCTGGAAACGTCTGCGCAGCGTCTCAGTATAAACAGGGCCTGAACTCAACTCCAACTGATGACATCACAGGTGTCTAAACAATGGGAGTGTCCCAAATATTAAAGCTGATCTCCCTGTTTTTAAACTTAGATTTGTGCTGTTGTGTTTTACAGTTTATAAACCATTGTGAAAGATACAGTAACTTTACATTTTAGAATTGAATTATTATTTTAAACTCAAGAATCTAAACCATTTTTAACATAGTTTGTTGGACATTCTAACATTTCTAATGTGTTAAAAATAGTTAAAAATATTAAAAACAATATCATATTTTAAACTTTAACTTTAAAACTTTTTAACAAAAAGCTTTTTTAACTGTTTTTGGCTCTCACAATAACCCAATTGAGCACATGGGGATCTAGCTCTAAAAAGCGTTGTCTAGTTGGCAAAGGTGTCTCCCTTTCAGCTGACCAGTGCCAGCTGTTATTATAGATCCATGATGTCAACAACTCATTATGACAACACTGGCAATTCAAAATACAGATAATATACAAAATATACTTAACAAATTCCATGTATACGTGAGAAAACACTTTCTGTCTCCAACTCTTTTCGATGTGGAAATGATACATCTATATCTAAAAACTGTGCAGACTGTGTACTTACTAGAGAGGGTGATTCGAAGTAAATAAAGCAGGTGCAGAGGAAGAATGGACTGAGCGATCAGAAATTGACTCAAAGATTGAGTCTATGGGAGGTCATTATTGTACGTCCAGAAGTGGAACCTACATTGACGTCGTATAGACGTCAAAAAGGGGTCCTCGTCTCGACCGACGCGTCTGAAACGTAATCTACAAGTGAGCTTCGGATGTTCATTGGTTCTTTTAAGAATGTATCTCAGTTATTGATATCAAGAGTGGTGTAGGGGAAAAGTAACGGACCTGTAGATGGAGCAATGGGAGTTCAAAACCCTGGAGGTTGTTAGTTCCTTTTTAAACAAACATTTTTTCTCTATTTGGTTAAAACAAATCAACACTCAACATAGGATTATGTAGCTTCTAAGAATAAAACCTATGAATGTATGTATGTTAGTGATGCTAACTATCTCAAGTCTCCATTTGAGAAAGTAAATAAAGCAGGGCAGCGACAGATATTAAACGTAATATCAACATCTGGGAGGGCATTGTTTTACATCCAAATGCATTGTTTTACATCCAAATGCGCACCTTTCAAAGACGTCGTTTAGACGTGGAACACAGGTCATCGGCCGACCCACTCGTTAGGACGTGATCTAGCAATAGTGAGCATCGGCTCTTTAGCGGGTTGGGTCTAACTTTACTATGAAGTTGCAGAGTTAGTGTCTGACAATAGTGTAATGGTTAAATAAGCGTGTGGTGCTGTGGCGACGTGGCTTCGAGCCCACGTTACTACGCTTCACCAACGTTGTGTTTGTTTCAATTTTTAGCAAAAACATTTTCTTTGTTTAGTTAAAAACAAATAAACACTCAACATAGGATTATGTAGTGGCTAATAATAAAACTTGTGAATGTATGCATTTGCATACAATCTCAAGTGCTCACCCCTTATTTGCAAACTTGAGATTGTCCATCCATCCATTTTCTTCCCTTTAATCCATTTCTGGGTCAGGGGGGTGGCAGTCAGAGATGCCACCCAAGTCTCATAGCACCAGCCCCTCACTGACCCTCTGCAGGTGGTGAGTCCACAGGAGGACGGCTGCTCTCTGACTGTGAGCATAGCCTTGATCTTTCAGTGGGGGCTTTGGGCAAAGTGGGACAGCAGTCATCAGTGGGAGTCGGTGGAGAAGGTGCAGAGGTGGGAATTGAACCCACGACCTTCTGGCCTTAAGGCCAATGCTCTACCAACTGAGCTACTGTCGCCCCTTGAGATTGTTAGCACAACAAATGCATACATTCACAAGTTTATTATTAGCCACTACATAATCCTATGTTGAGTGATTATTAGTTTGAGTGTCTATTAGAAAAATTAAATTTGATAAAATATATAAATTTAATAAAGCGCACATGTAGACTCGAACCCACGTTTCCACGATCGCACACATTTGTTTAACCACTACACTACCGTCAGACACTCATTATCAGCTTTACAGCCGATACATTGTATTGCTAGATCAAGACGTAATGCGTGGGTCGGCCAATGACCCGTTTTCCACGTCTATGGGAGGTCAGGATTGGACGTCATATCCACGTCTATGGGAGGTCAGGATTGGACGTCATATCCACGTCTATGGGAGGTCAGGATTGGACGTCATATCCACGTCTATGGGAGGTTGGGATTGGACGTCATATCCACGTCTATGGGAGGTCAGGATTGGACGTCATATCCACGTCTATGGGAGGTCGGAAGGATTGGACGTCATATCCACGTCTATGGGAGGTCAGGATTGGACGTCATATCCACGTCTATGGGAGGTCAGGATTGGACGTCATATCCACGTCTATGGGAGGTCAGGATTGGACGTCATATCCACGTCTATGGGAGGTCAGGATTGGACGTCATATCCACGTCTATGGGAGGTCATTGTTTTACGTCCAGATGCACACCTTACACAGACGTCGTTTGGACGTGAATAAAAGGTCAAGGTGAAAACCTACTGTGTGTGAGAACCTACTGTCTGTGAGTACCTACTGTCTGTGAGTACCTACTATCTGTGAGAACCTACTGTCTGTGAGTACCTACTGTGTAGGAGCCTACTGTCTGAGAACCTACTGTCTGTGACTACCTACTGTGTAAGAACCTACTGCTGTGAGAACCTACTGTCTGTAAGTACCTACTGTGTAAGAACCTACTGCTGTGAGAACCTACTGTCTGTGAGAACCTACTGTCTGTGAGAACCTACTGTCTGTGAGTACCTACCGTGTGTGAGAACCTACTGTGTGTGAGAACCTACTGTCTTTGAGTACCTACCGTGTGTGAAAACCTACTGTCTGTGAGAACCTACTGCTGTGAGAACCTACTGTCTGAAAACCTACTGTCTGTGAGAACCTACTGCTGTGAGTACCTACTGCTGTGAGAACCTACTGTCTGTGAGAACCTACTGTCTGTGAGTACCTACTGTCTGTGAGTACCTACAGTGCCTTGCGAAAGTATTCAGCCCCCTTGGACCTTTCAACATTTCAGGCTTCAAACATAAATATATAAAAATTAAATTTTTGGCTCCATCCATCTTCCCATCAATTTTAGCCATCTTCCCTGTCCCTGCTGAAGAAAAGCAGGCCCAAAGCATGATGCTGCCACCACCATGTTTGACAGTGGGGATGGTGTGTTCAGGGTGATGAGTTGTGTTGCTTTTACGCCAAACATATCGTTTTGCATTGTGGCCAAAAAGTTTGATTTTGGTTTCATCTGACCAGAGCACCTTCTTCCACATGTTTGGTGTGTCTCCCAGGTGGCTTGTGGCAAACTTTAAACCAGACTTTTTATGGATATCTTTGAGAAATGGCTTTCTTCTTGCCACTCTTCCATAAAGGCCAGATTTGTGCAGTGCACGACTGATTGTTGTCCTATGGACAGACTCTCCCACCTCAACTGTAGTTATCTGCAGTTCATCCAGAGTGATCATGGGCCTCTTGGCTGCATCTCTGATCAGTCTTCTCCTTGTTTGAGATGAAAGTTTGGAGGGACGGCCGGGTCTTGGTAGATTTGCAGTGGTCTGATACTCCTTCCATTTCAATATAATTGCTTGCACAGTGCTCCTTGAGATGTTTAAAGCTTGGGAAATCTTTTTGTATCCAAATCCGGCTTTAAACTTCTCCACAACAGTATCTCGGACCTGCCTGGTGTGTTCCTTTGTCTTCATGGTTCTCTCTGTGCTTTAAACAGAACCCTGAGACTATCAAAGAGCAGGTGCATTTATACGGAGACTTGATTACACACAGGAGCATTCTATTTATCATCATCAGTCATTTAGGACAACATTGGATCATTCAAAGATCCTCACTGAACTTCTGGACTGAGTTTGCTGCACTGAAAGTAAAGGGGCCCAATAATATTGCACGCCCCACTTTTCAGTTTTTTATTTGTTAAAAAAGTTTAAATTATCCAATACATTTCGTTCTACTTCACGATTGTGTCCCACTTGTTGTTGATTCTTGACAAAAAATTAAATTTTTATATCTTTATGTTTGAAGCCTGAAATGTGGCGAAATGTTGAAAGGTTCAAGGGGGCCGAATACTTTTGCAAAGCACTGTGTAAGTCCCTACTGTCTGTGAGTACCTACTGTGTGTGTGTATTGTGTAACCTGTGTGTGTTGTGTGTTAGCTGGGCTCGTGTGTGTGTGTGTGTGTAACCTGTGTGTTGTGTGTTAGCTGGGCTCGTGTGCGTGTGTGTGTGTGTGTGTGTGCAACCTGTGTGTGTTGTGTGTTAGCTGGGCTCGTGTGCGTGTGTGTAACCTGTGTGTGTTGTGTGTTAGCTGGGCTCGTGTGCGTGTGTGTGTGTGTGTGTGTTGTGTGTTAGCTGGGCTCGTGTGCGTGTGTGTGTGTGTGCAACCTGTGTGTGTTGTGTGTTAGCTGGGCTCGTGTGCGTGTGTGTGTGTGTGTGTGTGTGTGTGTGTGCTGGGCTCGTGTGCGTGTGTGTGTGTAACCTGTGTGTGTTGTGTGTTTAGCGGGGGCTCGTGTGCGTGTGTGTGTGTAACCTGTGTGTGTTGTGTGTTGCGCTGGGCTCGTGTGCGTGTGTGTGTGTAACCTGTGTGTGTTGTGTGTTTAGCTGGGCTCGTGTGCGTGTGTGTGTGTAACCTGTGTGTGTTGTGTGTTGCGCTGGGCTCGTGTGCGTGTGTGTGTGTAACCTGTGTGTGTTGTGTGTTTAGCTGGGCTCGTGTGCGTGTGTGTGTGTAACCTGTGTGTGTTGTGTGTTGCGCTGGGCTCGCGTGCGTGTGTGTGTGTGACCTGTGTGTGTTGTGTGTTTAGCGCTGTGTGGTGGTGTGTGGTGAACCTGTGTGTGTTGTGTTAGCTGGGCTCGTGTGGTGTGTGTAACCTGTGTGTGTTGTGTTTTAGCTGGCTCGTGTGCTGTGTGTGTGTACTGTGTTGTGTGTGTTGCGCTGGGCTCGCGTGCGTGTGTGTGTGTAACCTGTGTGTGTTGTGTGTTTAGCTGGGCTCGTGTGCGTGTGTGTGTGTGTGTGTGTGTGCAACCTGTGTGTGTTGTGTGTTAGCTGGGCTCGTGTGCGTGTGTGTGTGTAACCTGTGTGTGTTGTGTGTTTAGCTGGGCTCGTGTGCGTACCTGGACAGACTGATGAAGAACGGTTGCTGGTTGATCCAAGCCTTCAGTTTGTTCTGCACCATCAACGGATACGACCTCCGTGAGTCTCTCTCACACATGGTTACTCTGACCAGGAGGTGGTGGAGGAGGAGGTGGTGGCGGAGGAGATGGTGGCGGAGGAGATGGTGGAGGAGGAGATGGAGGAGGAGGTGGTGGCGGAGGTGATGGAGGAGGAGGAGGTGGTGGAGGAGGAGATGGAGGAGGAGGAGGTGGAGGTGGTGGAGGAGGTGTAGGTGTTAGAGGAGGATGGGGAAGAGGAGGAGATGGAGGAGGAGGTGGTGGCGGAGGTGATGGAGGAGGAGGTGGTGGCGGAGGTGATGGAGGAGGAGGAGGTGGAGGAGGTGTAGGTGTTAGAGGAGGAGGTGGAGATGGTGGTGGAGATAGAGGAGGAGGTGGTGGAGGAGGAGGTGGCGGAGGTGGTGGAGGAGGTGTAGGTGTTAGAGGAGGATGGGGAAGAGGAGGAGATGGAGGTGGGGAGGAGGTGGTGTTTGGTGAGGATGGAGGGAGGGGCTGGTCCTAGTCCTCCTCTGGTCTCTGTTGTTGGTTCCAGCCCCTCCTGATGATGCCTGTTGTTGGTTCCAGCCCCTCCTGATGATGCGTGTTGTTGGTTCCAGCCCCTCCTGATGATGCCTGTTGTTGGTTCCAGCCCCTCCTGATGATGCCTGTTGTTGGTTCCAGCCCCTCCTGATGATGCCTGTTGTTGGTTCTAGCCCCTCCTGATGATGCCTGTTGTTGGTTCCAGCCCCTCCTGATGATGCCTGTTGTTGGTTCCAGCCCCTCCTGATGATGTGTGTTGTTGGTTCCAGCCCCTCCTGATGATGCCTGTTGTTGGTTCCAGCCCTTCCTGATGATGCCTGTTGTTGGTTCCAGCCCCTCCTGATGATGCTTGTTGTTGGTTCCAGCCCCTCCTGATGATGCGTGTTGTTGGTTCTAGCCCCTCCTGATGATGCCTGTTGTTGGTTCCAGCCCCTCCTGATGATGTGTGTTGTTGGTTCCAGCCCCTCCTGATGATGCCTGTTGTTGGTTCCAGCCCTTCCTGATGATGCCTGTTGTTGGTTCCAGCCCTTCCTGATGATGCTTGTTGTTGGTTCCAGCCCCTCCTGATGATGCCTGTTGTTGGTTCCAGCCCCTCCTGATGATGCCTGTTGTTGGTTCCAGCCCCTCCTGATGATGTGTGTTGTTGGTTCCAGCCCCTCCTGATGATGCCTGTTGTTGGTTCCAGCCCTTCCTGATGATGCCTGTTGTTGGTTCCAGCCCCTCCTGATGATGCTTGTTGTTGGTTCCAGCCCCTCCTGATGATGCGTGTTGTTGGTTCCAGCCCCTCCTGATGATGCCTGTTGTTGGTTCCAGCCCCTCCTGATGATGTGTGTTGTTGGTTCCAGCCCCTCCTGATGATGCCTGTTGTTGGTTCCAGCCCTTCCTGATGATGCCTGTTGTTGGTTCCAGCCCTTCCTGATGATGCTTGTTGTTGGTTCCAGCCCCTCCTGATGATGCCTGTTGTTGGTTCCAGCCCTTCCTGATGATGCTTGTTGTTGGTTCCAGCCCCTCCTGATGATGCCTGTTGTTGGTTCCAGCCCCTCCTGATGATGCTTGTTGTTGGTTCCAGCCCCTCCTGATGATGCCTGTTGTTGGTTCCAGCCCCTCCTGATGATGCTTGTTGTTGGTTCCAGCCCCTCCTGATGATGCCTGTTGTTGGTTCCAGCCCCTCCTGATGATGCTTGTTGTTGGTTCCAGCCCCTCCTGATGATGCCTGTTGTTGGTTCTAGCCCCTCGTGATGGTCTCTGTTGTTGGTTCTAGCCCCTCCTGATGATGCCTGTTGTTGGTTCTAGCCCCTCCTGATGGTCTCTGTTGTTGGTTCCAGCCCCTCCTGATGATGCCTGTTGTTGGTTCTAGCCCCTCCTGATGATGCTTGTTGTTGGTTCTAGCCCCTCCTGATGGTCTCTGTTGTTGGTTCTAGCCCCTCCTGATGATGCGTGTTGTTGGTTCCATTTTGAATGATATTATGGATAACGAGGCGGGTCATGTGTTAATGCGTTAATTCTAAAGGTTTTCTAAAAACATGCACAATAGGTCTGAATGTAGATGAGAGAGTGAATGATGGTGTTGGAGCTGATGGTTTCTGTCATCACCGTGTGTGGAAGGATTGTCTCACCCTCTGTCTCCCCCTCTCCCTCACTCTCTCTCTGTCTCACCCTCTGTCTCCCCCCTCCCTCTCTCTCTCTCTGTCTCACCCTCTGTCTCCCCCTCTCCCTCACCTCTCTCTCTCTGTCTCACCCTCTGTCTCCCCCCTCCCTCTCTCTCTCTCTGTCTCACCCTCTGTCTCCCCCTCTCCCTCACCTCTCTCTCTCTGTCTCACCCTCTGTCTCTCCCTCTCCCTCTCTCTCTCTCTGTCTCTCACCCTCTGTCTCACCCTCTCCCTCTCTCTCTCTCTGTCTCACCCTCTGTCTCCCCCCTCCCTCTCTCTCTCTCTCTGTCTCACCCTCTGTCTCCCCCTCTCCCTCACCTCTCTCTCTCTGTCTCACCCTCTGTCTCCCCCTCTCCCTCACCTCTCTCCCTCTCTCTCTCTCACCCTCTGTCTCCCCCTCTCCCTCACCTCTCTCTCTCTCTCTCTGTCTCACCCTCTGTCTCCCCCTCTCCCTCACCTCTCTCCCTCTGTCTCTCTCACCCTCTCTCCCTCACCTCTCTCCCTCTCTCTCTCTCCCCTCTGTCTCCCCCTCTCCCTCTCCTCTCTCTCTCTCACCCTCTGTCTCCCCCTCTCCCTCACCTCTCTCTCTCTCTCTCTCTCTCTCTCACCCTCTGTCTCCCCCTCTCCCTCACCTCTCTCCCTCTCTCTCTCTCTCTCTCACCCTCTGTCTCCCCCTCTCCCTCACCTCTCTCCCTCTCTCTCTCTCTCCCTCTGTCTCCCCCTCTCCCTCACCTCTCTCTCTCTCTCTCTCTCTCTCTCACCCTCTGTCTCCCCCTCTCCCTCACCTCTCTCCCTCTCTCTCTCTCACCCTCTGTCTCCCCCTCTCCCTCACCTCTCTCTCTCTCTCTCTCTCTCTCTCTCACCCTCTGTCTCCCCCTCTCCCTCTCTCTCTCACTCTCTGTCTCCCCCTCTCCCTCACCTCTCTCTCTGTCTCACATCAGGAGTTCTAGCCCCTCCTGATGATGCGTGTTGTTGGTTCCAGCCCCTCCTGATGATGCGTGTTGTTGGTTCTAGCCCCTCCTGATGATGCCTGTTGTTGGTTCTATCCCCTCCTGATGATGTGTGTTGTTGGTTCCAGCCCCTCCTGATGATGTGTGTTGTTGGTTCGAGCCCCTCCTGATGATGCCTGTTGTTGGTTCTAGCCCCTCCTGATGATGTGTGTTGTTGGTTCCAGCCCCTCCTGATGATGCCTGTTGTTGGTTCCAGCCCCTCCTGATGATGCCTGTTGTTGGTTCCAGCCCCTCCTGATGATGCCTGTTGTTGGTTCTAGCCCCTCCTGATGATGCCTGTTGTTGGTTCCAGCCCCTCCTGATGATGTGTGTTGTTGGTTCCAGCCCCTCCTGATGATGCCTGTTGTTGGTTCTAGTCCCTCCTGATGATGTGTGTTGTTGGTTCCAGCCCCTCCTGATGGTCTCTGTTGTTGGTTCCAGCCCCTCCTGTGATGCGTGTTGTTGGTTCCAGCCCCTCCTGATGGTCTCTGTTGTTGGTTCCAGCCCCTCCTGTGATGCGTGTTGTTGGTTCCAGCCCCTCCTGATGGTCTCTGTTGTTGGTTCCAGCCCCTCCTGATGATGTGTGTTGTTGGTTCCAGCCCCTCCTGATGGTCTCTGTTGTTGGTTCTATCCCCTCCTGATGATGCGTGTTGTTGGTTCCAGCCCCTCCTGATGATGTGTGTTGTTGGTTCCAGCTCCTCCTGATGGTCTCTGTTGTTGGTTCTATCCCCTCCTGATGATGCGTGTTGTTGGTTCCAGCCCTTCCTGATCCCCTCCTGATGGTCTCTGTTGTTGGTTCCAGCCCCTCCTGATGAGGCCTGTGAGCTGCCCGAGGGGGAGGCGGGGATCGTGTGGGATGCGATCTGCTTCCTGGTGCTGCTGCTCCAGAGGAGAGTGTTCCTCAGTTATTACTTCCTGTACGTGGTGTCGGAGCTCAAGGCCTCCAAGATCCTGGCCTCAAGGTCTGTCCGCACTCTGATTATGTAGCACAGGTACAGATACAGGTACAGACACAGACACAGGTACAGATACAGACACAGGTACAGACACAGACACAGGTACAGACACAGGTACAGACACAGGTACAGGTACAGATACAGACACAGGTACAGATACAGACACAGGTACAGACACAGACACAGGTACAGACACAGGTACAGATACAGACACAGGTACAGACACAGACACAGGTACAGACACAGGTACAGACACAGGTACAGGTACAGATACAGACACAGGTACAGATGCAGACACAGGTACAGATACAGACACAGGTACAGACACAGACACAGGTACAGACACAGGTACAGATACAGACACAGGTACAGATGCAGACACAGGTACAGATACAGACACAGGTACAGACACAGACACAGGTACAGACACAGGTACAGATGCAGACACAGGTACAGGTACAGATACAGGTACAGACACAGACACAGGTACAGACACAGGTACAGATACAGACACAGGTACAGACACAGGTACAGATACAGACACAGGTACAGACACAGGTACAGATACAGACACAGGTACAGACACAGGTACAGATACAGACACAGGTACAGACACAGACACAGACACAGGTACAGACACAGGTACAGATACAGACACAGGTACAGACACAGGTACAGATGCAGACACAGGTACAGGTACAGGTACAGATACAGAAACAGGTACAGACACAGGTACAGGTACAGACACAGGTACAGACACAGGTACAGATACAGACACAGGTACAGACACAGGTACAGACACAGACACAGGTACAGACACAGGTACAGATACAGGTACAGACACAGACACAGGTACAGACACAGGTACAGATACAGACACAGGTACAGACACAGGTACAGACACAGGTACAGACACAGGTACAGACACAGGTACAGACACAGGTACAGATGCAGACACAGGTACAGACACAGGTACAGGTACAGGTACAGATACAGACACAGGTACAGATACAGACACAGGTACAGACACAGACACAGGTACAGACACAGGTACAGATACAGACACAGGTACAGATGCAGACACAGGTACAGATACAGACACAGGTACAGACACAGACACAGGTACAGACACAGGTACAGATGCAGACACAGGTACAGGTACAGGTACAGGTACAGACACAGGTACAGATACAGACACAGGTACAGACACAGGTACAGATACAGACACAGGTACAGACACAGGTACAGATGCAGACACAGGTACAGACACAGGTACAGATACAGACACAGGTACAGACACAGGTACAGATACAGACACAGGTACAGACACAGGTACAGATGCAGACACAGGTACAGGTACAGATACAGACACAGGTACAGATACAGACACAGGTACAGACACAGACACAGGTACAGACACAGGTACAGACACAGGTACAGATACAGACACAGGTACAGACACAGGTACAGATACAGACACAGGTACAGGCACAGGTACAGATACAGACACAGGTACAGATACAGACACAGGTACAGACACAGACACAGGTACAGACACAGGTACAGACACAGGTACAGACACAGGTACAGATGCAGACACAGGTACAGGTACAGGTACAGGTACAGACACAGGTACAGATACAGACACAGGTACAGACACAGGTACAGATGCAGACACAGGTACAGATACAGACACAGGTACAGACACAGGTACAGATACAGACACAGGTACAGACACAGACACAGGTACAGACACAGGTACAGATACAGACACAGGTACAGACACAGGTACAGATACAGACACAGGTACAGATACAGACACAGGTACAGACACAGGTACAGATACAGACACAGGTACAGATACAGACACAGATACAGACACAGGTACAGATACAGACACAGGTACAGGCACAGGTACAGATACAGACACAGGTACAGATACAGACACAGGTACAGATACAGACACAGGTACAGACACAGACACAGGTACAGACACAGGTACAGACACAGGTACAGATACAGACACAGGTACAGACACAGGTACAGATACAGACACAGGTACAGGCACAGGTACAGATACAGACACAGGTACAGATACAGACACAGGTACAGACACAGACACAGGTACAGACACAGGTACAGACACAGGTACAGATGCAGACACAGGTACAGGTACAGGTACAGGTACAGACACAGGTACAGATACAGACACAGGTACAGACACAGGTACAGATACAGACACAGGTACAGGCACAGGTACAGATACAGACACAGGTACAGACACAGACACAGGTACAGACACAGGTACAGATACAGACACAGGTACAGACACAGGTACAGATACAGACACAGGTACAGGCACAGGTACAGATACAGAAACAGGTACAGACACAGACACAGGTACAGACACAGGTACAGATACAGACACAGGTACAGACACAGGTACAGATACAGACACAGGTACAGGCACAGGTACAGATACAGGTACAGCCGTGATCACTGCCGCTGGAGGAACCGCTGTCCAGAGCGCCGCAGCTCAGCTCGCAGAGTTCATACAAGAGTCACCATCTCACACACACGTGTCTGTGGCATTCTGAGTGTTATTATGGGATGCATGGGCATGCCTTAATTGCGTTAATTTTTTTAACGCGATGAATGAAAAAAATTTATTAACGCGATAATTTTGACAGCCCTAATTATGAGATTATCATGAGATTATTATAATAATATAATATTATGATATAATATAGAGGAGCAGGTACCTGAGCTAACCCCACAGCTGTGTAGTACCTGAGCTCACAGCTGTGCAGTACCTGAACTCACAGCTGTGCAGTACCTGAACTCACAGCTGTGCAGTACCTGAACTCACAGCTGTGCAGTACCTGAACTCACAGCTGTGCAGTACCTGAACTCACAGCTGTGTGGTACCTGAGCTCACAGCTGTGTAGTACCTGAGCTCACAGCTGTGCAGTACCTGAACTCACAGCTGTGTGGTACCTGAGCTCACAGCTGTGCAGTACCTGAGCTCACAGCTGTGGTACCTGTGTGCAGAGGAGCAGAGCTGTTTGAGGCTAAGGTAAAGAAGATGGTGGCCGCTCGTCTGGAGGCGGAGAAGACGTCTGTGGCTGCTCTAAAGAAACAGTGAGAACAAAGATCTTCATCAAACACAAAGAACACAATGAAGACGAAGATGTTTCTGTTTCAGGATGGAGAAGATCAAGTCCAAACAGAGTCGACCGAAGGGAGAGAAGCAGATCCAGGGTCAGGTCTCGTTATACACACCTCCTCCGACTCCTCCTGGTATCCTCCTGGTATCCGTCTGTGTCCTGGGTCTCCTCCTGGTCTCCTCCCTCTGTGTCCTGGTCTCCTCCTGGTGTCCTCCCTCTGTGTCCTGGTCTCCTCCTGGTGTCCTCCCTCTGTGTCCTGGGTCTCTCCCTGGTCTCCTCCCTCTGTGTCCTGGGTCTCTCCCTGGTCTCCTCCCTCTGTGTCCTGGTCTCCTCCTGGTCTCCTCCCTCTGTGTCCTGGTCTCCTCCTGGTCTCCTCCCTCTGTGTCCTGGTCTCCTCCTGGTGTCCTCCCTCTGTGTCCTGGTCTCCTCCTGGTCTCCTCCCTCTGTGTCCTGGTCTCTTCCTGGTCTCCTCCCTCTGTGTCCTGCTCTCCTCCTGGTCCCCTCCCTCTGTGTCCTGGTCTCCTCCTGGTCTCCTCCCTCTGTGTCCTGGTCTCCTCCTGGTCTCCTCCCTCTGTGTCCTGGTCTCCTCCTGGTCTCCTCCCTCTGTGTCCTGGTCTCCTTCTGGTCCCCTCCCTCTGTGTCCTGGTCTCCTCCTGGTCTCCTCCCTCTGTGTCCTGGTCTCCTCCTGGTCTCTTCCCTCTGTGTCCTGGTCTCCTCCTGGTCTCCTCCCTCTGTGTCCTGGTCTCCTCCTGGTCTCCTCCCTCTGTGTCCTGGTCTCTTCCTGGTCTCCTCCCTCTGTGTCCTGCTCTCCTCCTGGTCCCCTCCCTCTGTGTCCTGGTCTCCTCCTGGTCTCCTCCCTCTGTGTCCTGGTCTCCTCCTGGTCTCCTCCCTCTGTGTCCTGGTCTCCTCCTGGTCTCCTCCCTCTGTGTCCTGGTCTCCTTCTGGTCCCCTCCCTCTGTGTCCTGGTCTCTTCCTGGTCTCCTCCCTCTGTGTCCTGGTCTCCTCCTGGTCCCCTCCCTCTGTGTCCTGGTCTCCTCCTGGTCTCCTCCCTCTGTGTCCTGGTCTCCTCCTGGTCCCCTCCCTCTGTGTCCTGGTCTCCTCCTGGTCTCCTCCCTCTGTGTCCTGGTCTCCTCCTGGTCTCCTCCCTCTGTGTCCTGCTCTCCTCCTGGTCCCCTCCCTCTGTGTCCTGGTCTCCTCCTGGTCTCCTCCCTCTGTGTCCTGGTCTCCTTCTGGTCCCCTCCCTCTGTGTCCTGGTCTCTTCCTGGTCTCCTCCCTCTGTGTCCTGGTCTCTTCCTGGTCTCCTCCCTCTGTGTCCTGGTCTCCTCCTGGTGTCCTCCCTCTGTGTCCTGGGTCTCTCCCTGGTCTCCTCCCTCTGTGTCCTGGTCTCCTCCTGGTGTCCTCCCTCTGTGTCCTGGTCTCCTCCTGGTCTCCTCCCTCTGTGTCCTGGTCTCCTCCTGGTGTCCTCCCTCTGTGTCCTGGGTCTCTCCCTGGTCTCCTCCCTCTGTGTCCTGGTCTCCTCCTGGTCTCCTCCCTCTGTGTCCTGGTCTCCTCCTGGTCTCCTCCCTCTGTGTCCTGGTCTCCTCCTGGTCTCCTCCCTCTGTGTCCTGGTCTCCTCCTGGTCTCCTCCCTCTGTGTCCTGGTCTCCTCCTGGTCTCCTCCCTCTGTGTCCTGGTCTCCTCCTGGTCTCCTCCCTCTGTGTCCTGGTCTCCTCCTGGTCTCCTCCCTCTGTGTCCTGGTCTCCTCCTGGTCTCCTCCCTCTGTGTCCTGGTCTCCTCCTGGTCTCCTCCCTCTGTGTCCTGGTCTCCTCCTGGTCTCCTCCCTCTGTGTCCTGGTCTCTTCCTGGTCTCCTCCCTCTGTGTCCTGCTCTCCTCCTGGTCCCCTCCCTCTGTGTCCTGGTCTCCTCCTGGTCTCCTCCCTCTGTGTCCTGGTCTCCTCCTGGTCTCCTCCCTCTGTGTCCTGGTCTCCTTCTGGTCCCCTCCCTCTGTGTCCTGGTCTCCTCCTGGTCTCCTCCCTCTGTGTCCTGGTCTCCTCCTGGTCCCCTCCCTCTGTGTCCTGGTCTCCTCCTGGTCTCCTCCCTCTGTGTCCTGGTCTCCTCCTGGTCTCCTCGCAGGCTGCTCTTGTCCTGTGCGGTCGCTTTCTCTCGCTGCTCCTCACTTGCAGCTTTATAATTGCCTTTAATCATTCTTATTTAGATTTTTATTCGACAAAACACGGATTACTCCTTTTTACGAACTTCAACACAGACTTGTGGAACTTACAGCATGTCTGGAGGACGCAAAAAAGGAGGAAACTTTGCGACGGCTGTTGGTCACTCCTCAAACAGGAGTTAAAACTTCTTCAAGACCGAATGTTTGTCCTTGAATCAGAAATGGGGCTTCACACCATGTTACCAATGAAGGGAAATGGACAAAATGGATGTCATGATGATTATGATGATGCCATTTCATTTCCCAAAATCAACAGAGACAATTGTTGGAAACACATATGGTGCCAAGCCCAAACAAGGCAAAGCTAATGATAACAAGAGTGTCATAATGCCACAGCAAAAAATCTTTAATTACAAGGAACCGCTTTTCACCACTTTTGGAAGATGAATCAGCAGTAGCCTCTCAGTCCCAGTCTCAGTCTCAGTCCAGGTCAAATGCAGCTGAGTCGCTCCTTATCGGGGATGGTGCTCTAAAAAATGTAAGCATACGTGGTGTGAAGACATTTTCCGTACACTCGGCCAAGGTCGACGAGATAAGACTGTTGAGTAAAAAGCTCCTGTCTGAACATCGTGGTGTCAACAGATTGTGGATCCACGTGGGGGCAGTAGACGTCTATGACATGACCAGTGAAAAGTTGAAACGGGATTACTCTCTCTTATTGGACGACCTTGCTAAAATCGACTTACATTTTTTTATCAGTGGCCCACTACCAAATGTGGACGGGAAGCAAATGAAATTCAGTCGTCTGTATCAGCTAAATACTTTCCTACTCAACGAATGTTCACGCAGAGGACTTGCCTTCATTGAGAATTTTAATCTGTTCTGGAATAGGCATGAGCTTTTTGAAGGGAAAGGGCCACATCTGAACACTTACGGAGTAAAAGTGTTGATGGATAACCTTTCTTTTGCCCTGAGACCTCTGCCTGCGCAGCGCGTGCAGCCATCGAAAGGGAGGAAGCCGACTCCAAAAGTCTCTGCACCTCCACCACCTCGAAGGATCTCAACACCACCACCGCCTCAAAGGATCTCAACACCTCCACCACCTCGAAGGATCTCAACACCACCACCACTTCGAAGGATCTCAACACCTCCACCTTCATCAGCAGCAACTGCATCATCACCAGTAGCAGCACCAACAGCACCACCAGCACCCTCATTATCCTCATCCCCAGCCTGCTCCAAAGCAGTCACGCCTTCTTCATCTACAGCGCCTCTGAAGCCCCCATCCTCACCCCAGCCTACAGCAGACAGGCCTGTGCTGGGGTTTCCTCAACCACCTGCCCCTCCATCAAAGACTCCCTCGCCACCTCCCATGGACCTGTCTTGGGTCCCCCCTGCCACGTCCACTCCATCAAGAGAGAGTGGGGACACCTCCCTTTGTTTTTCATCCCCGCCTTCACTGTTAGACCTACCTGAACACTCTGCAGGGCTAATAAAATCGGCGATGAAGACTATTCTTCTCACACCCATATTAGCTAGATCTAGAGTCCTGTCCAACATTCTAAACCACTCCCCATATGTACCTCCAAAACCACCTAGGGTTTCCAATTCACCTACAAAAACCACCTCAGCCAGTCCCTCCCCTAACCTCATGACCATTCCACCCCCACTTCCCCCTCGTTCAACATCCAAAACCTCTGCCTCAGCCCACCCCGGCCCTAACCCATCACCTAAAACCCATCCACCTCCCTGCCCCCCTCGTTCAACACCCAAAAGCCACCCACCTCTCCATCCTCCTCCCCCGCCTTCCCCTTCCCCTCTTTTCTCTAAACACTAGGATGCACAGGGTCTCTGCTTCGCAGCCACTGGCAGTCTAGTTAGAGGAGAGACCCGGCTGGGGCCCTGTCATGAAGCCACCTGTGCCATTCCTTTAGTGATAACACAAAGAATACATTACAGAAAAACATCTGGAGTTAATCAGTCTAATCAGGAAAATCTAATTCTTGTTCCGTGTAAGAATCAGCCGACCACAACCGCTGATACTGAAACTTTGAAACTTGCTACGCTTAATGTCAGATCTCTTTGTAACAAGTCTTTTTTAATCAATAATTTTATTTGTTCTCATAATCTTGATCTTATGTTCATGGCTGAAACATGGCTTGACCAAAATACAGAAAATGCAGTTTTAATAGAAGCATCACCACCAAATTTCAAATTCGAATCGGAAATTCGGGAAAACAAAAAAGGAGGAGGCTTAGCTGCCATTTTCAGAGACCACTTTGTCTCCCATAGAATGTCTCTTGGGAAGTGTCCGTCTTTTGAATATGTGTCTTTTAAAATACAACAAAAACAATCTCCTCCAATACTCTTCATAGTCCTATACAAGCCACCGCAGTCATGTCACAGTTTTATTGATCATTTTCCTGGGTCTCCTCCTGGTCTCCTCCTTCTGTGTCCTGGGTCTCCTCCTGGTCTCCTCCTTCTGTGTCCTGGGTCTCCTCCTGGTCTCCTCCTTCTGTGTCCTGGGTCTCCTCCTGGTGTCCTCCTTCTGTGTCCTGGGTCTCCTCCTGGTCTCCTCCCTCTGTGTCCTGGTCTCCTCCTGGTCTCCTCCTTCTGTGTCCTGGTCTCCTCCTGGTGTCCTCCCTCTGTGTCCTGGGTCTCTCCCTGGTCTCCTCCCTCTGTGTCCTGGTCTCCTCCTGGTGTCCTCCCTCTGTGTCCTGGTCTCCTCCTGGTCTCCTCCCTCTGTGTCCTGGGTCTCCTCCTGGTCTCCTCCCTCTGTGTCCTGGGTCTCCTCCTGGTGTCCTCCTTCTGTGTCCTGGGTCTCCTCCTGGTGTCCTCCCTCTGTGTCCTGGGTCTCCTCCTGGTGTCCTCCCTCTGTGTCCTGGGTCTCTCCCTGGTCTCCTCCCTCTGTGTCCTGGTCTCCTCCTGGTCTCCTCCCTCTGTGTCCTGGTCTCCTCCTGGTCCCCTCCCTCTGTGTCCTGGTCTCCTCCTGGTCTCCTCCCTCTGTGTCCTGGTCTCCTCCTGGTCTCCTCGCAGGCTGCTCTTGTCCTGTGCGGTCGCTTTCTCTCGCTGCTCCTCACTTGCAGCTTTATAATTGCCTTTAATCATTCTTATTTAGATTTTTATTCGACAAAACACGGATTACTCCTTTTTACGAACTTCAACACAGACTTGTGGAACTTACAGCATGTCTGGAGGACGCAAAAAAGGAGGAAACTTTGCGACGGCTGTTGGTCACTCCTCAAACAGGAGTTAAAACTTCTTCAAGACCGAATGTTTGTCCTTGAATCAGAAATGGGGCTTCACACCATGTTACCAATGAAGGGAAATGGACAAAATGGATGTCATGATGATTATGATGATGCCATTTCATTTCCCAAAATCAACAGAGACAATTGTTGGAACACATATGGTGCCAAGCCCAAACAAGGCAAAGCTAATGATAACAAGAGTGTCATAATGCCACAGCAAAAAATCTTTAATTACAAGAAACCGCTTTTCACCACTTTTGGAAGATGAATCAGCAGTAGCGTCTCAGTCCCAGTCTCAGTCTCAGTCCAGGTCAAATGCAGCTGAGTCGCTCCTTATCGGGGATGGTGCTCTAAAAAATGTAAGCATACGTGGTGTGAAGACATTTTCCGTACACTCGGCCAAGGTCGACGAGATAAGACTGTTGAGTAAAAAGCTCCTGTCTGAACATCGTGGTGTCAACAGATTGTGGATCCACGTGGGGGCAGTAGACGTCTATGACATGACCAGTGAAAAGTTGAAACGGGATTACTCTCTCTTATTGGACGACCTTGCTAAAATCGACTTACATTTTTTTATCAGTGGCCCACTACCAAATGTGGACGGGAAGCAAATGAAATTCAGTCGTCTGTATCAGCTAAATACTTTCCTACTCAATGAATGTTCACGCAGAGGACTTGCCTTCATTGAGAATTTTAATCTGTTCTGGAATAGGCATGAGCTTTTTGAAGGGAAAGGGCCACATCTGAACACTTACGGAGTAAAAGTGTTGATGGATAACCTTTCTTTTGCCCTGAGACCTCAGCCTGCGCAGCGCGTGCAGCCATCGAAAGGGAGGAAGCAAAGTGCCTTTCAGGCAACAACACAAACATCTCCACCGGCTCCAAAGGTCTCTGCACCACCACCACCTCCTCCACCCCCTCGAAGGATTTCAACACCTCCACCTTCATCAGCAGCAACTGCATCATCACCAGTAGCAGCACCAACAGCACCACCAGCACCCTCATTATCCTCATCCCCAGCCCGCTCCCAGTCACGCCTTCATCTACAGCGCCTCTGAAGCCCCCATCCTCACCCCAGGCTACAGCAGACAGGCCTGTGCTGGGGTTTCCTCAACCACCTGCCCCTCCATCAAAGACTCCCTCGCCACCTCCCATGGACCTGTCTTGGGTCCCCCCTGCCACGTCCACTCCATCAAGAGAGAGTGGGGACACCTCCCTTTGTTTTTCATCCCCGCCTTCACTGTTAGACCTACCTGAACACTCTGCAGGGCTAATAAAATCGGCGATGAAGACTATTCCTCTCACACCCATATTAGCTCGATCTAGAGTCCTGTCCAACATTCTAAACCACTCCCCATATGTACCTCCAAAACCACCTAGGGTTTCCAATTCACCTACAAAAACCACCTCAGCCAGTCCCTCCCCTAACCTCATGACCATTCCACCCCCACTTCCCCCTCGTTCAACATCCAAAACCTCTGCCTCAGCCCACCCCGGCCCTAACCCATCACCAAAAACCCCTCCACCTCCCTGCCCCCCTCGTTCAACACCCAAAAGCCACCCACCTCTCCATCCTCCTCCCCCGCCTTCCCCTACCCCTCTTTTCTCTAAGCACTAGGATGCACAGGGTCTCTGCTTCGCAGCCACTGGCAGTCTAGTTAGAGGAGAGACCCGGCTGGGGCCCTGTCATGAAGCCACCTGTGCCATTCCTTTAGTGATAACACAAAGAATACATTACAGAAAAACATCTGGAGTTAATCAGTCTAATCTGGAAAATCTAATTCTTGTTCCGTGTAAGAATCAGCCGACCACAACCGCTGATACTGAAACTTTGAAACTTGCTACGCTTAATGTCAGATCTCTTTGTAACAAGTCTTTTTTAATCAATAATTTTATTTGTTCTTATAATCTTGATCTTATGTTCATGGCTGAAACTTGGCTTGACCAAAATACAGAAAATGCAGTTTTAATAGAAGCATCACCACCAAATTTCAAATTCGAATCTGAAATTCGGGAAAACAAAAAAGGAGGAGGCTTAGCTGCCATTTTCAGAGACCACTTTGTCTCCCATAGAATGTCTCTTGGGAAGTTTCCGTCTTTTGAATATGTGTCTTTTAAAATACAACAAAAACAATCTCCTCCATTGTCCTATACAAGCCACCGCAGTCATGTCACAGTTTTATTGATCATTTTCCTGGGTCTCCTCCTGGTCTCCTCCTTCTGTGTCCTGGGTCTCCTCCTGGTCTCCTCCTTCTGTGTCCTGGGTCTCCTCCTGGTCTCCTCCCTCTGTGTCCTGGTCTCCTCCTGGTCTCCTCCTTCTGTGTCCTGGTCTCCTCCTGGTCTCCTCCCTCTGTGTCCTGGTCTCCTCTGGTCTCCTCCTTCTGTGTCCTGGTCTCCTCCTGGTCTCCTCCTCTGTGTCCTGGGTCTCTCCTGGTCTCCTCCCTCTGTGTCCTGGTCTCCTCCTGGTGTCCTCCCTCTGTGTCCTGGTCTCCTCCTGGTCTCCTCCTCTGTGTCCTGGGTCTCCTCCTGGTGTCCTCCTTCTGTGTCCTGGGTCTCCTCCTGGTCTCCTCCTCTGTGTCCTGGGTCTCCTCCTGGTGTCCTCCCTCTGTGTCCTGGGTCTCCTCCTGGTCTCCTCCTCTGTGTCCTGGTCTCCTCCTGGTGTCCTCCCCTCTGTGTCCTGGGTCTCTCCCTGGTCTCCTCCCTCTGTGTCCTGGTCTCCTCCTGGTCTCCTCCTTCTGTGTCCTGGGTCTCCTCCTGGTCTCCTCCTTCTGTGTCCTGGGTCTCCTCCTGGTCTCCTCCTTCTGTGTCCTGGGTCTCCTCTTGGTCTCCTCCTTCTGTGTCCTGGTCTCCTCCTTCTGTGTCCTGGTCTCCTCCTTCTGTGTCCTGGGTCTCCTCCTGGTCTCCTCCTTCTGTGTCCTGGGTCTCCCTGGTCTCCTCCTTCTGTGTCCTGGGTCTCCTCCTGGTCTCCTCCTTCTGTGTCCTGGTCTCCTCCTTCTGTGTCCTGGGTCTCCTCCTGGTCTCCTCCTTCTGTGTCCTGGTCTCCTCCTTCTGTGTCCTGGTCTCCTCCTTCTGTGTCCTGGGTCTCCTCCTGGTCTCCTCCTTCTGTGTCCTGGGTCTCCCTGGTCTCCTCCTTCTGTGTTTGGGGTGTCCCCCTGGTCTACTCCCTCTGTGGGACACCTCCCCAGGGAGGAGACCAGCAGGAGACCAGCAGGAGACCAGGAGTAGACCAGGAGGAGGCCAGGAGATTCTGTTTTTAATGTTTTAATGAACACAGATAATGATGAATGTTTGATTCCAGACGAAGAAAAATCCAAACAAGACGCAGGGAAATGGTGGAAGCCGTGGGTGTCGCAGCCTGGAGGTCTGTATATGTATATAAATATATATATATATATATATATAAGTACATATATATTTATATACATATACATGTACTTATATACATACACAGTACACATGTGCAGTAATTCTACACATCCTTCCTCTCTCTGACAGTGGAGAACAACTGTGGTTATCACCTGTTTGAAAGTGACAGTGAGGAAGAGGAGGAGGAGGTCACAGCGAAGAAAGAGGAAGAACAACCTCCAAAGAAGAAGTCTGCGTTTCAGGTGCAGTCTACACTGCTCTATACTTTCTACTATATATAATGATTCTATAAATAATACTATGTAATACTGTATTATTATACAAATACTATTCTATATCCATCCATCCATTTTCTTCCCCTTAATCCATGTCTGGGTGGGGGGTGGCAGTCAGAGCACCAGCCCCTCACTGATCCTCTGCAGGAGCTGAGTCCACAGGAGCTGAGATCTTTCAGCGCGGGCTTCAGGCAAAGTGGGGTTAAGTGTCTTGCCCAAGGACACAACAACAGCAGTCATCAGTGGGAGTCGTGAAGTAGTCTATAGAACTATTCTATATTATTATAAATATTACTCTAATAGTATGTTATTATATATGTAAGGGATAATGTATCGTACACAGGTCATTATCGGATAATAAGTACCAACAGCTGAAGGAAGCAGGGCTGAATGACCTGTGTACGATAGGCCCAAAGGCTTTCCCGTGGCTATGCTAGCAACAGTTAGGCTAGCAACAGTTAGGCTAGCAACAGTTAGGCTAGCAACAGTTAGGCTAGCAACAGTTAGGCTAGTAACAGTTAGGCTAGTAACAGTTAGGCTAGCAACAGTTAGGCTAGCAACAGTTAGGCTAGCAACAGTTAGGCTAGCAACAGTTAGGCTAGTGACAGTTAGGCTAGTAACAGTTAGGCTAGCAACAGTTAGGCTAGTAACAGTTAGGCTAGCAACAGTTAGGCTAGTGACAGTTAGGCTAGTAACAGTTAGGCTAGCAACAGTTAGGCTAGTAACAGTTAGGCTAGTAACAGTTAGGCTAGTAACAGTTAGGCTAGTGACAGTTAGGCTAGTAACAGTTAGGCTAGCAACAGTTAGGCTAGTGACAGTTAGGCTAGTAACAGTTAGGCTAGCAACAGTTAGGCTAGCAACAGTTAGGCTAGCAACAGTTAGGCTAGTAACAGTTAGGCTAGTGACAGTTAGGCTAGCAACAGTTAGGCTAGTAACAGTTAGGCTAGCAACAGTTAGGCTAGTAACAGTTAGGCTAGCAACAGTTAGGCTAGTAACAGTTAGGCTAGTAACAGTTAGGCTAGCAACAGTTAGGCTAGTGACAGTTAGGCTAGTAACAGTTAGGCTAGTGACAGTTAGGCTAGTAACAGTTAGGCTAGTAACAGTTAGGCTAGCAACAGTTAGGCTAGCAACAGTTAGGCTAGCAACAGTTAGGCTAGCAACAGTTAGGCTAGTAACAGTTAGGCTAGCAACAGTTAGGCTAGTAACAGTTAGGCTAGTAACAGTTAGGCTAGTAACAGTTAGGCTAGCAACAGTTAGGCTAGTGACAGTTAGGCTAGCAACAGTTAGGCTAGCAACAGTTAGGCTAGCAACAGTTAGGCTAGCAACAGTTAGGCTAGTAACAGTTAGGCTAGTAACAGTTAGGCTAGCAACAGTTAGGCTAGCAACAGTTAGGCTAGCAACAGTTAGGCTAGCAACAGTTAGGCTAGTAACAGTTAGGCTAGTAACAGTTAGGCTAGTAACAGTTAGGCTAGCAACAGTTAGGCTAGCAACAGTTAGGCTAGTGACAGTTAGGCTAGTAACAGTTAGGCTAGTAACAGTTAGGCTAGTAACAGTTAGGTTAGTGACAGTTAGGCTAGTAACAGTTAGGCTAGCAACAGTTAGGCTAGTAACAGTTAGGCTAGCAACAGTTAGGCTAATAACAGTTAGGCTAGTAACAGTTAGGCTAGTAACAGTTAGGCTAGCAACAGTTAGGCTAGTAACAGTTAGGCTAGTAACAGTTAGGCTAGTAACAGTTAGGCTAGTGACAGCTAGGCTAGTGACAGTTAGGCTAGTAACAGTTAGGCTAGCAACAGTTAGGCTAGTAACAGTTAGGCTAGTAACAGTTAGGCTAGTAACAGTTAGGCTAGTAACAGTTAGGCTAGTAACAGTTAGGCTAGTAACAGTTAGGCTAGTAACAGTTAGGCTAGTAACAGTTAGGCTAGTAACAGTTAGGCTAGCAACAGTTAGGCTAATAACAGTTAGGCTAGTAACAGTTAGGCTAATAACAGTTAGGCTAGTAACAGTTAGGCTAGTAACAGTTAGGCTAGTAACAGTTAGGCTAGTAACAGTTAGGCTAGCAACAGTTAGGCTAGTAACAGTTAGGCTAGCAACAGTTAGGCTAGTAACAGTTAGGCTAGTGACAGCTAGGCTAGTGACAGTTAGGCTAGCAACAGTTAGGCTAGTAACAGTTAGGCTAGTAACAGTTAGGCTAGTAACAGTTAGGCTAGTGACAGTTAGGCTAGTAACAGTTAGGCTAGTAACAGTTAGGCTAGTAACAGTTAGGCTAGTAACAGTTAGGCTAGCAACAGTTAGGCTAGTAACAGTTAGGCTAGCAACAGTTAGGCTAATAACAGTTAGGCTAGTAACAGTTAGGCTAGTAACAGTTAGGCTAGCAACAGTTAGGCTAGTAACAGTTAGGCTAGTAACAGTTAGGCTAGTGACAGTTAGGCTAGTAACAGTTAGGCTAGCAACAGTTAGGCTAGTAACAGTTAGGCTAGTAACAGTTAGGCTAGTAACAGTTAGGCTAGTAACAGTTAGGCTAGTAACAGTTAGGCTAGTAACAGTTAGGCTAGTGACAGTTAGGCTAGTAACAGTTAGGCTAGTAACAGTTAGGCTAGTAACAGTTAGGCTAGCAACAGTTAGGCTAGTAACAGTTAGGCTAGTAACAGTTAGGCTAGTAACAGTTAGGCTAGTAACAGTTAGGCTAGTAACAGTTAGGCTAGTAACAGTTAGGCTAGTAACAGTTAGGCTAGTAACAGTTAGGCTAGTAACAGTTAGGCTAGTAACAGTTAGGCTAGTAACAGTTAGGCTAGTAACAGTTAGGCTAGCAACAGTTAGGCTAGCAACAGTTAGGCTAGTAACAGTTAGGCTAGTAACAGTTAGGCTAGTAACAGTTAGGCTAGTAACAGTTAGGCTAGTAACAGTTAGGGCTAGTGACAGTTAGGCTAGTAACAGTTAGGCTAGTAACAGTTAGGCTAGTAACAGTTAGGCTAGTAACAGTTAGGCTAGTAACAGTTAGGCTAGTGACAGTTAGGCTAGTAACAGTTAGGCTAGTAACAGTTAGGCTAGTAACAGTTAGGCTAGTAACAGTTAGGCTAGTAACAGTTAGGCTAATAACAGTTAGGCTAGTAACAGTTAGGCTAGTGACAGTTAGGCTAATAACAGTTAGGCTAGTAACAGTTAGGCTAGTAACAGTTAGGCTAGTAACAGTTAGGGCTAGTGACAGTTAGGCTAGTAACAGTTAGGCTAGTAACAGTTAGGCTAGTAACAGTTAGGCTAGTAACAGTTAGGCTAGTAACAGTTAGGCTAGTGACAGTTAGGCTAGTAACAGTTAGGCTAGCAACAGTTAGGCTAGTAACAGTTAGGCTAGTAACAGTTAGGCTAATAACAGTTAGGCTAGTAACAGTTAGGGCTAGTGACAGTTAGGCTAGTAACAGTTAGGCTAGTAACAGTTAGGCTAGTAACAGTTAGGCTAGTAACAGTTAGGCTAGTAACAGTTAGGCTAGTGACAGTTAGGCTAGTAACAGTTAGGCTAGCAACAGTTAGGCTAGTAACAGTTAGGCTAGTAACAGTTAGGCTAATAACAGTTAGGCTAGTAACAGTTAGGCTAGTAACAGTTAGGCTAGTAACAGTTAGGCTAGTAACAGTTAGGCTAGCAACAGTTAGGCTAGTAACAGTTAGGCTAGTGACAGTTAGGCTAGTAACAGTTAGGCTAGTAACAGTTAGGCTAGTAACAGTTAGGCTAGTAACAGTTAGGCTAGTAACAGTTAGGCTAGTAACAGTTAGGCTAGTAACAGTTAGGCTAGTAACAGTTAGGCTAGCAACAGTTAGGCTAGTAACAGTTAGGCTAGCAACAGTTAGGCTAGTAACAGTTAGGCTAGTAACAGTTAGGCTAGTAACAGTTAGGCTAGCAACAGTTAGGCTAGTAACAGTTAGGCTAGTAACAGTTAGGCTAGTAACAGTTAGGCTAGTAACAGTTAGGCTAGCAACAGTTAGGCTAGTAACAGTTAGGCTAGTAACAGTTAGGCTAGTAACAGTTAGGCTAGTAACAGTTAGGCTAGTAACAGTTAGGCTAGTAACAGTTAGGCTAGTAACAGTTAGGCTAGTAACAGTTAGGCTAGCAACAGTTAGGCTAGTAACAGTTAGGCTAGCAACAGTTAGGCTAGTAACAGTTAGGCTAGTAACAGTTAGGCTAGTAACAGTTAGGCTAGTGACAGTTAGGCTAGTAACAGTTAGGCTAGTAACAGTTAGGCTAGCAACAGTTAGGTTAGTGACAGTTAGGCTAGTAACAGTTAGGCTAGTAACAGTTAGGCTAGTAACAGTTAGGCTAGTAACAGTTAGGCTAGTAACAGTTAGGCTAGTAACAGTTAGGCTAGCAACAGTTAGGCTAGTAACAGTTAGGCTAGTAACAGTTAGGCTAGTAACAGTTAGGCTAGTAACAGTTAGGCTAGTAACAGTTAGGGCTAGTGACAGTTAGGCTAGTAACAGTTAGGCTAGTGACAGTTAGGCTAGTAACAGTTAGGCTAGTGACAGTTAGGCTAGCAACAGTTAGGCTAGTAACAGTTAGGCTAGTAACAGTTAGGCTAGTAACAGTTAGGCTAGTGACAGTTAGGCTAGTAACAGTTAGGCTAGTAACAGTTAGGGCTAGTGACAGTTAGGCTAGTAACAGTTAGGCTAGTAACAGTTAGGCTAGTAACAGTTAGGCTAGTAACAGTTAGGCTAGTAACAGTTAGGCTAGTGACAGTTAGGCTAGTAACAGTTAGGCTAGTAACAGTTAGGCTAGTAACAGTTAGGCTAGTAACAGTTAGGCTAGCAACAGTTAGGCTAGTGACAGTTAGGCTAGTAACAGTTAGGCTAATAACAGTTAGGCTAGTGACAGTTAGGCTAGTAACAGTTAGGCTAGCAACAGTTAGGCTAGTAACAGTTAGGCTAGTAACAGTTAGGCTAGCAACAGTTAGGCTAGCAACAGTTAGGCTAGTAACAGTTAGGCTAGTAACAGTTAGGCTAGTAACAGTTAGGCTAGTAACAGTTAGGCTAGTAACAGTTAGGCTAGTAACAGTTAGGCTAGTAACAGTTAGGCTAGTAACAGTTAGGCTAGTAACAGTTAGGCTAGTAACAGTTAGGCTAGTAACAGTTAGGCTAGCAACAGTTAGGCTAGTAACAGTTAGGCTAGTAACAGTTAGGCTAGCAACAGTTAGGCTAGTAACAGTTAGGCTAGTAACAGTTAGGCTAGTAACAGTTAGGCTAGTAACAGTTAGGCTAGTAACAGTTAGGCTAGTAACAGTTAGGCTAGTGACAGTTAGGCTAGTAACAGTTAGGCTAGCAACAGTTAGGCTAGTAACAGTTAGGCTAGCAACAGTTAGGCTAGT